GTCCACCACCCTCAAGTGCCTTGTGGCTCTGATCGCAGCGACCTCTTACTTCCCTCCCTCCCTGGTCACCACTCCCCCACATGTGTTTTCTTACCTTATTAGAAAGTAAATTCCTAGAGGTGGGGATGGTGGTGGGGGCAGTTAGGTGGTACAGCGGATAGAGTGTTGGGCCTATAGTCAGAAAGACCTGAGTTCAAATCCAGCCTCAGACACTTACTAGTTATGTGACCCTGGGCAAGTCACTTCACCCCATTTACCTCAGTTTCCTCATCTGTAAAATGAACTGCAGAAGGAAATGGCAAACCACTCCGCTATCTCTGCCAAGAAAACCCCAGATGGGATCAGGACTGAAAAGGCTGAACAACAGAAAACATGGCAGAGAGTGTCTGGCTCGACCCTATCTGTATTCCCAACGTATTAAGCACATTAAATTAGTGCTTAATAAATACCTTTTCATTCATTCTAAAAGAGTCCTCCACCCCTTAAGCATATGTAGTATCATTAACTTTATTTTATTAAATAACTTATCCTTTTCTTATATTGTGTTAAGGGGTATTTTTAGTTAATAAGCATTTATTAAGCACCTGCTGTGTGCCAGCCACCATAGTAAGTACTGGGATTCTAAGGGAGGGTACTCAGAAAGGCAGAAGATGGTCCTTGTTCTCCAGGAGCTCAGGGGGAAGATGTAAACAACTATATGTGCAGACAAGCTAGAGAGTGAGTGAAGGAAGGAAGGAAGGAAGGAAGGAAGGAAGGAAGGAAGGAAGGAAAGAAGCCCTTATTAAGCATTTACAAAGCCCTGGGGGTGCGGACCAAGCAGTCTGACAGTCCGAGCCCCCCAGGACTCCTCATTCTAATGGGGGAGAGACAACAGGGAGGGGAGGTTTCAGCCGTAAGTCAGAGGGAAGCCCCCCCATTCCCCCTCCTGGAGGGTCAGCGGCTGGTCCTGCCTCCTATTTCCTGTTGTTCTCATGCCCGCAGCCCCCGGAGGGCCCTGGCTGGGCTGCATCTCCCAGGGGCCGCTTCCCAGGAGGAGGCCTCGGTGCTGGGCTGGGGGCCTGCCTGTGCCCGAGGCTGCCAGGGCTGGCTTCTCTGGGCTGTTCCCGATGTGGCTGTGGCGGTCCAGGTGAGGGAGGGGGGTGTGACTCACCTGTGTCTCCTTCAGGGTGACTTGATTCTTCAGTTAGGTGGGGAGGATACAGACAGGACAAATGAGAGATGATGGCCCGAAGGAAGGCCTGGAAGGAGCAGGGCTGGGGGAGGCTTCCTGGAGAAGGTCAGATGTTAACTGGGACTGACAAGAAGCCAGGAGGCTGAGATGAGGGGGCAGAGGTGGCAGGCAGGGGCCTCAGGAGAACGTGCCCGGAGCCATGAGAAGGAGGGCCTTGTTGGTGCGATGGCCAGGAGGCCGGGGTCACTGATCAGAGATTGGAGGTAAGGCGTGAGAAGACTGGAAAGGTGGCAGGGGGCCGGGTGGTCAATGAATGCCAAACAGAGCGTTTTGTATTTGGTCCTGGAGGCAAGAGGGGTTACCGGAGCAGGGGGGTAACACAATCTGACCTGGGCTTTAGGTAAATCACTTTACTGGCTGGGTAGAGGATGGCCTGGAGTGGGGGGACACTTGAGGCAGGCAGCCCCCGCCCCCAGCAGCCGCTGTGAGGAGTCCAGGTGTGAGGGGATGAGCGTCTGCCCCCCGGCTGGGGACAGCATCAGAGGAGAGAAGGGGGTGGATTTGAGAGATGCTCCAAAGGTCAATTGGACAGGCCTTGGCACAGTGTGGATCTGGGGGGTGAGGTAGAGTGAGGAGTCCAGGATGACACTGAGGCTAGGAAGGAACTAGGAGATGAAACTGTCTGGATAGGAAGATGAGGGGAGGAAAGTGAGCACTCAATGGCGGGATTTGTGGGGAAAAACCCACGTGTTGTTCCTGGTGGTGAGAGCATCTGGTTGGGAGGGGCCTGAGGGAAAGGGCCCCTGCAGCCAGGAAGTGCCAGGGACCCCAATGTCTGGAGGGATGACCCCCGGCTTCAGCAGCTCCCCCGCCTCAGTGCCCAGAGGCCCTCAGGCAAAACAGCTGCAGCCACCAGCACCACCGGCACCGGCACCGGCAGCAGTACCCACCAGCCCTAGAACCAGC